GAACCATAAGATTATCTCTTCCAAATTTTACTGTCTTTAGAACATGATTTATACCTTACTCTGTCAATTTCCAAAAATTCAAGCTTCTAATCATTTTTCTCTGACAATGGCGGAATATGATTTAAAATTGAAATGCTGCTTCAATATTTTACACTTTATAGTTGAAGTACTATGAAAATTATGGTAACATAATATTTGGCATGGTCCTAATCACTTAATTGTATTATACTCGTTGAAATAATTGGGAAAAGAACCTTGTTGTATTCTCCGATTGATTAGAATTTACTAACTCACAGAATTTTCTGTATTGCTTGTATTAGTTGAAGGGGGAAATCACATATGATTTGAAGGATCCAGCCTATTGTTATACCATTATTAATGTCCCGGAAGATATTTGTTCTTTGGCAGCAAGCCTTACAAAGTGGTTATCTGAGGTCGAGACCTGTAAGGTGATTGGCTTTCCTTTATGTCATTTATTATTTTTGTAGTTTATTCTCTATTTGTGTGGGGAAGAGGGGGACATTCATAGTGCAAGTTTGGCAAAGCTTATATTATAATTTAAACCTGTCAAACATACTTTTTATCCAACTTATTATCCAGCATTCAATGGGGCCCGCTGTTTAAAACAAGCACGTGATAACATGCATACTGACTTTGATTGACGTAGGTGCGGAAGATAGATGCAATGTTTAATGCTGCTGTTTTTGCTGCAAAAGAGTGTGATAAAGTGCAGAGCTGCCAAGAAAATCAACATACTTCTTGCTTGCAAAGGAAGATTCAACAGTACTTTAATGGGGATGATGACGTTGATGTTCCTAACCAGATGGGTCAAAACAGGTTGAAATGTTTGATCTATAAATACACAATTCACAGTGAACTTATTGTTGGAGCTCGTTTGCTTGGGCTTCAAAACAAATAAGAACTACTCAAGTTTCCAAACAAGTGTATCCAAAGTTACTTATTTTGACAGTAACTCCTGATTAAAATAAGTAGCTTGCCATTTTTTTTTTCTTTACAGTTTTTCTAGAACTTACAAGTGAACTGTATAAGCTTAGCCAAACATGCTCCAACAAGGCAACTACAGCAAAAAGCTAAGCTTTCATTGCATAATATATAGCTGGGATCTATTGCTGAGCTCTGTTGTTTCATTGAGCATCAATCATGAACAACCCAAAAATAACTTATAGTCTAGCAGATATTGATATGAAAATATCTATGTATATATGTTGCAATAAATATTATGATCTTTCTAGATATTATTTGATTGTCCTAACTAAAACATCATTTTGTTTGCAGTCCATTTTTGCGGGCTGATATAAAGGTACAAATTTTCAAACGTTACAACTTGTTTCTTGCTAAAAAGAAATTAACCAAAATTGTAAAATTTCCATCCTCTTTTGATGCCTTAGGTCTTTCTTCAGAGTAATTCACAAGTGAAATTTACCCCCCGAGCAATTGCAAGGATACTGCATGGACTTGCTAGCCCGGCCTTTCCTGCTGCTATTTGGTCAAGAACCCATTTTTGGTAATGTGGCAACAAAATTAATATATGGTTTGATCAATGGTTCTTAATTTTATCATTTTAAGTATAACCTAGATTTGCATTTAACTTGAAAAACGTGATGCAGTGATATTATCTTTGCATGAAATAGAGGGTTTAAATGATTCTTTAAAATCGAGAAATGTTGTAAAATATGAGACATTTTTCAAGAATCCACTCGTATGGTTGACTGCTCTGTATATGGTATCTCTCTCAGAGGTTGACACTGATGCATGTATTGTAGGGATCATTGGATCATAGATTAAAAAATAAGCTGAAATTGTGTGGATTATACTGTCTTTTCATTTATATGATCGCAAATTTCCTGGCTGGATTTTAGGGGAAGGTATCAACAGATAGACTTTAAAGTAGTGATGGAAGCGGCAAAGGGAGAGCTCATTAGTATGGTCGGCAAGGATGTAATTTAGCTATTTCTTTCTCGAGAGAATGTCATTTATAACAACAAATAGGGAGAACACAATATTGCGCGGTTACAGTTGGCTAATCTTAGTAAGTCTTCCTACTTCGTCATCTGTTTTTGTTTGGAAATTTAATGCAAATGTTCGTTCCTTTCTCTTCCCTTTTCTTTCCAGTGCACGCAATGCTGCCTGTGGGACTTCCGGTGCTAAAGTTTTGACAGGTATAATGCAATAGTTGTATTGAATGTACATAATGATTTATATGCACATAATGTAGTGAGATATGATTCGATTTTTTCAATCAGATAATTTTTCCTCTATTTTTGAAACCTCGTTTTTCTGTGAACAATTATGTAACTCTTATGTACAACTAGCATTATCCATAATACAATTGGGGATGAGATAGGCTACTTACATGTCAATACCTTGACATGTGTATGCTTAGATTGTGCAAATATTCCTACTGTATAAGTTTATAAAAAGATTTGTGTGTCAGAGATGGTGGACATTTGAATCTTATTTTATATCATTGTCAAAACATGCAGTGACAAAAGTATGCGGATCTCATATGTGAATCAATATAAATGTATGTATTTTTGGTTCTTATACATTCGATTGATTATTGTAGTTATAAGAAGATGTTACGGCTTAACCTATAATATCTACTTGCAGGTGAAAGTCGAAAGATTGATCAACTCACAGCGAAGAAAAGAATATCCATAGAGAAGCTTGTCATTGCTAATATTATAATAAACATATATTTTCATATGTTGTAAATCTCACGGTTATGTAAAATTATTGATGATTTTTTCATTAAGTGTTATCTTTCTTTTGAATTTTACCATGATAAGGAATAAGTCTTAATTTGTTATTTGTGTAGATCATTGAAGACAATGAATTTTGCTTGAACCCAAGAATTGATATTCCATCTCCTTTCAAAGCCCTTCCCAAGTGCTAAAAACTTCGGCATATTATGGTCTAGATCATTTACCCAAATTAGATTTTGTGCATTCAACACCAAATCGTCGTGTTCGTGAATCATCGCACTAATGTCCGGCAATTGGGGTTATGGATTTTCAATTTATGGGGGTAGTATGGGATCCATAGTCGGGGAGAAAATCACCCGTTTTGGGTATTTTGGTTTGACATTGCTTCACACTCAAAACAAAAAGTAGGGAGCTATGTCTAGAGGTGGGCGTGGATCGGACCGAACCAAAATCTTCGGGTATTTAGTAAATGGAAACCGTCGGGTCCAAATATAATTATGGAACCTTTCGGGCTCGGTTTGGTTCCATTCGGTTCCGTACTAGTAACACTATATAAATACAACTAATGACATATTCAATCGTAGTTTTACAAATTAACATAATCAAATTTAATAACATGTAAATAACAAGTAGTTCAATAAAATTAATTTACCAATGCTTACAATTTACAAATACCAAATAGTAGATACTAATACTAAAACTTCAACTATCCATCAATTACTTGACTTGTCATACTCATTATTGAGAAACTTTGCAAGAAAAAATTGAAAAAGCACAATTAAGTTATTAACAAATATAAATAAATTCAAATTTGTTCAATTAATAAGATTTAATAAAAAAATATAATATATATTTTATTACCCGTCTCAGTGCCCTCATAAGCTGTTTTAATGAAATGATTCTAATCTTTCATTAGGCTATTTTTTGCCTCCCATTTGAGCATCCAGAATTGGTATCACTTTAACAAGAAACTTGATTAAATTCTGCATAAACATTGTGGAACAAAATTATCAAACACTAACGAATGATAGTTGCACCAATTGAACGAAAGAAACTAGCAAAACATTCTGAAAAATCCTTAAAGAGCACAAGCTAACTGCTAACGAATCTTATTAACATGATTAGCCGGCTATTTCTCCAATTTCGATGTTGCATACAAACCTTTTAAAACCAATCTTATTAACATGATCAGCTGTCTATTTCTCCAATTTAGATGTTCCATAGAAACCTATCAAAACTAATCTTATTAACATGATTTAACCCCTTGAATCCAAGCTCTAAATAACTGCAATGGTTTTGGAATGTTAGAGACTAGTAGACTATTTTGTTCAAATGATCGCTGCGGTCACAGTTTCGATCGGCGGAGGTTACAACTTTGGTCGACGGTCATAGCTTTGGTCAGTGATTGCATAGATTTTGAAATGTCAGCGAGGTTGCGAGAGTGAGTGCGAGAGTTGAGATAGCATTATACACTTTAGTGTAGGTGTTTAGGGTTATTTAGTGGGTTGGATCATGTTGGACTAAGAAATGAAACAATAAAACGGGTAATTGGGTCAAAAATTAAAAAATTAGAAATGAAATAAATTATTGGGCCAAAAATTTGTATTTAGAAATTGTTAATTTGTTTAGAAAAAATTTAAATTAAAATAATTTGATTTATTCAATATAAAAAAAGATAAAAAGATTCAGTTATTCGGTGTTTGGTTTAGAACCGAGAATCGAACCGTACCCGTCAATTTTTAATTCAGATACCCGTTCGGCTATTTAATTTGAAAAGAATCGTCAAATTCGGCTCGATTCAGTTCGAGTTCGGCTCGAGAGATTTGCCCATCCTTAACTATATCTGAGTTAAATTTGGAGAAGCCCCCATTACATATCATGAGCATTTGCATTTCACTCCATGCAAGCTCACGTGTCATAATTATCTATCCCCATGGTTTAAAAAAGTAATTAATTTTTGAAAAATTATTTCTTACTTTTAGAATATACCTTGTTTGTTTTTCATTTTTAAGTAAAATTGCATTTTGAAATAGTTAATTAGTGAAGAATATATGATTAAGAATTAAGAAAAAGTTTTAATTTTACGTATAATATTATTTTATTAAAAAATGTATGACGAAAAAGAAGAGGGAGAAAAATAGATATCAAACAAGTGCATAATTCGAATTTGGACTATTTAGATATTTTCTCTATTCATTCATTTATTTGTCAATCCATAAGCAAACTACCCCGGTTTGTTACCATAAGCAGAAGCCCGAATATATATAATAATCATTAAACGGTAAAATGATTTAAGAAAATTCTGTGGATCTTCTTTTTCTCTCAACGCGAATGAGACACGCACTTTATCTCTCTAAAAGCCATTGTCGCGGTTCGGTTTGATCGTTGAAAAACGAGTGATGCCTATCTCTTTTTTCGTTTTTATTCAATTTTAGGGTTATATTTTCAATTCGTAAAATAATTGATAAGAGAGCATTTAGAATTGTTAGATTTGTTTTTATATTTGGGTTTAGATTTACGGATTGGTATTCGAATTTACCGATTCAAAAATCTTCTTTTGTCGTGGGAAATTAGGGTTTTAACCTTACTGTTCGAAAAAGTCGTCGTTGGAGTTTGATTGTAAGAAGTGAGCTTTAGGGTTTTCGTTCGAGAACCTATTAGATAAGTCCGGCCAAGTGCTCGTAGAATTATGGCTGCCGGAAGACATGATGGTTACAGAGACAATGAGTACAGGGACCGTGAGTCAGATTTTGCGGGTTCGAGGAAGGAAATTGAGTATTCCAAGGGGGATTATGGTCAATTTAGGAACAGGGATAGGTATTACGAGAGGGGTCATATTCGGGTTCGTAATAGTCAGGATTATAGAGGCAGGATTAGACAGAAGGATGTTAAGGTGAGGGAGAGAGCGATGATGAATGGTGGATACCGATCTACATATAGTAAAAGTGATTCGGGAAGCAGTGGTGGTGAGCCTAAAAAGTGCAATTTTTCAGTTCAGGCCATGGATCGAGAACCTGGTGAGCTGTCTAGTGATGGTTCTGATGAGTCTGTTGATTTAGGAATTCAGGTAAATAAAGGGAGTGAAGTGAAGAATTCAGAACACGGTAATCTCTCATCGCCGGTTCAAAGTAAGAAGCGAAAGTTTTCTCCTATTGTCTGGGATAGTGACGACAGGGAAGTCAATAGAACAGTTAAGAGTAGGAAAGTTTTACAATCTAATTTACCTCCGCCTACTTTGGTCAGGTCAAATCGCCAATCTCCGTACCCTTCCCTGGCTGAGGATGTACAGATTTCTCCAGCAGATGATGCTAAGGTTCACAAGTCAGAACCATTGCCTCCTGAGATTAGCATGGCACCTGATGTTGTGTTGGAATCCCCAATTGAAGTATCCTCTCCACTTCCTGAAGATCTGCCCGAGCATGGAGCAGAGACACTACATAATGATGAACACGTACCTACACGAACCATAATATCCTCTCGATGGGCAAATGATGCTGACTCACCAGCTGATGAAGGCGAAATTCCTGATGATGATGATCTGCAGAAATTGAAGAAGAGGGGACGAAGACAATCAGTTACTCCGGAGCTTGGAGAGGTCAAAAGAGAAGGTTCTGAAAGAACAAGAGGAAGATCCTCTGGATCTGATGAACGTATTAGGTCTTCCAGTAGGGATAGTTATCCTGACAATGATGACAAAAATGACTACATGGAGATTGGTGTGGACCGCAATTATGATGGTGCTAGTGTTACCCATTGTGACACGGAATCAGAGGATCGAGAACGATCTAGTGGGCCGGAGCCTGCACTACCCCCACAAAGGAGCGTAAATATGCTCCAGGGATGCAGAAGTGTAGATGAGTTTGAGAGACTGAACAAAATAGATGAAGGCACTTATGGGGTTGTATATAGAGCCAGAGATAAGAAGACTGGAGAAATTGTTGCGTTAAAGAAAGTCAAGATGGAAAAAGAAAGAGAAGGGTTTCCTCTGACAGCTCTTCGGGAAATAAACGTACTTCTTTCTTTTCACCATCCCTTTATTGTGGATGTCAAAGAAGTAGTGGTGGGGAGCAATCTTGACAGTATTTTCATGGTTATGGAGTACATGGAGCATGATCTTAAGGGATTGATGGAGACAATGAAACAGCCATTCAGTCAAAGTGAAGTTAAATGCCTTATGCTCCAGCTTTTAGAGGGTGTCAGGTATCTTCATGATAACTGGGTGCTTCACCGGGATCTGAAAACGTCAAATTTGCTTTTAAATAATTGCGGTGAGTTGAAGATCTGTGACTTTGGTTTGGCTCGCCAATATGGAAGCCCGTTGAAACCATATACTCAATTGGTGGTTACTCTGTGGTACAGGTGAGCATTACTTTATTACGTCATCTTTCTTTCATCCTTTATGTTATTTTCTTTTTTGTCTCAGATTTTTCCACAATCATGCATTCACCATTCACATATTTACTTCTTTCTTAAATAACTGATCTCGTGTTTTAACAATCCTATATCATTGTGAGTGTGCATGCTTTATTCTTGCGGATCTCATTTTATTTAGCTTCAGTTCATAATTATTTTAAATTCCAATTGCCATCATCCTTTCATCTTTTGGTCATTGCCATTATCACTTCTATAATGAAGGAAATTTGTATTCTTCAAAGTCGCAACCATAGTGATTGATGTAGTAGTGCATTTGATAATATGTTCTTTCAAGAACCTGTCTTTATATAATGTGAACTCACGTTTTCTTAGGTTCGAAGGATAATTGAATTGTAAGTTCACTTGCAGGGCTCCAGAACTTCTTTTGGGAGCCAAACAATATTCAACAGCAATTGATATGTGGTCGTTGGGATGTATTATGGCTGAGCTGTTATCAAAAGAACCTTTGTTCAATGGGAAAACAGAGTTGGACCAACTTAACAAGGTAAAGGTTAATAGCATTCTTCGGCTAATTATTTACTACAGATTTCTGAATGGATGACTGAATTTGATGATAGAGCTAAGATAGTATGTGACTGACATTGCTTAATGATTTCTCAAAAGTACTGAGTAGATTTATACCAATAAGCCGAGGCTTGGCCTGATTAGTTTATTTTCAATCTTAAATAACTGCAGATATATAGGATCCTTGGGAAACCAAATGAGGACATATCACATGGTGTCAACCATAAGTAAGTACCTATATCTTTCACATTCAATAGTTAACTCTGTTGACCGCAATATTCATGGTTTCTTCTTTTGTCACTGTTTCCCCAGGCTTCCAGCTATGGGTGATTCTGCTCTGGCTTTCTGGCCTCCATGGGTGACAGTTTCAGTTACATTACAAGAATACTATGTTTCTACTAATTAGTGTTATATTCCATTTCAGGCACAACCCTTTGCGTAGGAAATTTCCTGCCACTTCTTTTACTGGATCACCAGTACTTTCTGAAGCTGGATTTGACCTGTTATCCAAGCTTTTAACTTATGATCCTGAGAAGGTATTTTATAGTTAGTAAATACCTATGCATTATTTAGTGATTAAATATCTTGTGAATACAATCCCTAATTGTGTATGTGGTAATCGTGCAGCGGATCACTGCTGATGCGGCTCTCAACCATGAATGGTTTCGTGAAGTTCCTCTTCCTAAGTCTAAAGAATTTATGCCTACTTTTCCCGCGCAGCATGCACAAGACAGGTATTGTGATCGTCAATTTGAAATTCTTTATCATGAATCTTTGAGATTTTTTAAGTGAATTAATAGTGTTGAAGAGTTTTTAATGGTTTCAGGCGCATGCGAAGAGTGTTGAAGAGTCCCGATCCCTTAGAAGAGCAACGAAGAAAAGAGCTGCAACAAGGAGAATTAGGCATTGGTGGTGGTTTATTTGGCTAATAGTAGTAACTAGAATCAGAAGCTTTATTCTTCATTGGTTTTTTGTGTAGTCTCAGACAACATAGTTGAGGTGAGAGCTATGGTTTGTAAGGATTACAAACATCATTTTGAAACCGGTGCTGTTTTTTAGCAGGCACCTTTGGAAAATTGGGTGGACATACAATTCATTACCTCTATTTGGGAATCAGAATTGTGCAAACCAACATTTCTTCTTTGGCTCTTCCGTTCCTTAAGAATGTGTCTTTGACACTTCTTGCATAGCCGCGTCTGACATAATGTACTCCCTCACTTAAGGATTTTTCAGTTGAAACTCATGTATGTAACATATTATATATGGATCAATATAATCATTTTTCTTAAATTGGTTTTGAATGCCACATGTATGGTTTACTTTTGATCTCTTTTTGCTATCAATTGTCTTGTGCTGTCAATTTTAATCTCTTATATTGTGTTTGCAAGAGGCGATGATGTAATTCAGAGGGATGATAAAATTAGCTTGTCATTGATGAAGAATTTGAGAGAGCATTGCACAAGGTAATTATTAAATCTGAATACACGAGTCTGTCGCAAATTAAAAAATTTCCCTGTAATCATCTGGAATATAGGTTTTTACCAATTAGAGTTCTCCATTTCCATTTGGTCATAGTTTCAATTTTCTAGTTGCTGATAACTTATTCTTTTTAACCACTTCAGCTCTTGCAAATCTCAGCCATCTAAAGCAGAGCGTTTCGTTCTAACAGCTAAGAAAGAAAGATTTTTTATATTTTATATGCTTGTTTATTTATTAATCTTTTGACTATTTGTTGACAACTGTAGAATAATCAATATATATTTGATTTCCTGTTATTGAAAGTACCAAGCAGATTATGTTTCTTATTGGTATAATATTAGTTAGGGAGCAATCGATACCTTTCAGTGTTCGACGTATTTGTATAGTGTCCGAAGTTCATTTGTTGTTCTGATGGCACCAATCAGTCTGGGGTTATCTTAAGGATCTAATAGTAATATGTCAGTGTCAGTGCTCTATCTGCTACTGGTCATTTTTTTTTCCCATATGTTGTTTTTCACACTTATTTATTTGTTGAGGCCAGACCATATGGTTTGATGATAAAGAAATTTAGGTGGATAGATTCACATATTTGGCCACTACGAAATAAAAGGACCGTTTACATGGTTTTTCTTCTATTTATTAATATATACTGTGTAATAATTGTGATACTTATCTGTTTATTATGGCCTTTGGGGATTTGACGTTATTAACTGCTAACTTATCGGATTAATATTGTACTTATTTCACGCGCATAAACACGAGTATGGTATTGAAGTTCCTAGCATTAGGTAAACAAAACTGGAAGTTGAGGATTTGTTATTTTTTGTTCAGTTGTGTTTGATTTACGTATAGTTTTCTTGGCAATGGGCATTTTTTAATGTATGGACTCATCAAACTTATCAAAAGGAGTAGTTGCCTTTGATGTATAATTTTTTGTATCCACCCGGGAGATTGAACAATATTTTTAGAGGTTTTATGGCCTGAACAAGGTTTGAACGTTTGTAATGCATAATTTGTTGTCTCTTGGAAGAATAACCAATTCTTTTAGAGCTTTTATGGCATGAACAAGATTTATACTTTTATGACGTACATTTGCAAATGTCGCTGCAGTATCAGAGCAAGCAGGTTGAGGAACTCTCTCGCAACCTGACAGGCATAGAAATTTCAATATTTTTCCATTTTCCAGATATTCTTTGTTGCCTCCTCAAGCTCAGGAGAGGTATATTTGATACATTTTTATCACAATTATAATACTTATCTTTCTCTGTAAAGTACTATTGAGCAATTTTTACTTTGTTGTTTTATGATACAATATTAGGCTTATAATATGTAATTTTTTGATACTCAGTTAGATTTTTGTTCCTATTATTTGAAATTAGTCATACAATTGACCAATCAAATAACCAGAATCAGTTAGTACAACTTGTTTTTGTTTCTTCTTTTTTTTTTTTTCCTTCCCCCTATTGTTTTTGGGCATTTTTACCACTATCAACTACTGCAAAATGTTGAAAGGATTGTTGCGCACCTATTAGTTAATTGGCTTGAAAGTTTTGCTATTGTAAAGAGATCATCGATTTTTTATGTTGCGAAAATGGAAATGTGTTCCTTGAAACAAGAAAAATTTTGGAAACTCGAAAATTTGTTAAAACATAATTTGATTGTATTCAATTTGATGATTTAAAAGTGTACGAAGCCTTTTCTTAAATAGGCAAAAGAATCTCTTAATCCAAATAGCTCAAGGAAGATAAGTCATTATATTCCTGAAAGAATTAAAAGTTTTAATTTAAACAAGAAATAAAATCCTAATACAATACGAAATGAATTCCTATCCTATTTGCAATATGATTATCCTACATCAGTTTATGAAGACGAGATAGGTACACATTTGCTACCCTGTTGCATTTTCAATACTTGATTGTCTTTTATCAGTTTTAGCTAAAGTACTATGAATGAATTTTTACTTAGTTGTAATGGTTTATCATTATACATTTAGACCTGTAATTTTCAAGTCTTGGATACTTAGTGAGGAAGAATTTTGTTTTTGTTTCTTGAAATTGAATGTACTCAGAGGACCAGAATTGTGTTGTACGACTTGCTGATTTTTTTCCCCTGATTTTCTCCATTATCACTTTTAGGCATAGTTTCGAGTTCAACTCCTCTGATTTAACAAGTGCAGAATTTTAGCAAGGATTTTTAACTTCTATTGGTTAATTTGTTCGGAAAATAGCTATTGTATTCTTGGCCCTGAAAGCTATGTAAAGTCAATCTTATTTAATAATACCATTCATCTAGGCCTCTGAGAGAAACCTAGATTGCTTTTTTCGAATTAAGTTGCATTTGTTAGTAGCTGCTTGATTTTATATGGCATTTAAGTTCTTTATGCAATCTAGACTGTTTATATATTTATGTTGAACTTGGTATATGAGTTTCTTGGGTACTTGTATCATTCCTGAACCATTTGAAACATCTGAATTCAAGCTGGTATGTGCAAAGCTTGTTGTAACTTTTGCCACGCTTGTTGTATATGGATTCATATTTGTGCTGGCAATTCAAGCTGTGCGCATGCAAAGCTTTGGGCAACTTTGGTTTTCAAGTAGTTTGTTTTTTGAATATGGTGCATGTCTGGCTAAGCTTAATAATGCAAGTAACTTTTTGTTTATAAACATGTTTGGTTAAGTGACTTTTCCGCCTACTATGAAAAAAGGTTACTTATATGTAAGTAAATTGTACCTTATTGTCATAATAGTTTTTTGTCATGTGGCATTTCCAATGGCTTTAATACGGCAGATAGGAGTTCTACATTTTTTTTATGACTTTACACTTTTTAAATTTAGCCAAACATTGTCATGTTGATGCTCATCTCTCTCTTTTAATATGCATTCCTGCCGGCAATCCGAGGATATGCTCTCTTCTTGGTGCCCATCTTTAGGTTTCACAGGTCATAGACTGACCTGCAATGGTGTTTAATGTACCCAAGATACTAGTGTAAAAGTTTGTTCCAAGGTATGTATTTCCACTATTTTTGAGTTGTGAATGTTCTGTCTTAAAAGCATGTCTGGCAGTTGTGTGTAAACGGTATGAATTATAAAATGATAGAATAAGTGATGGATAAATGGATATTGCTTGTGGATCCCACAGAATATGTGGATAAAAAGTGGTTGTCTAATTTACTGTCTAGATACTAAACATATAATAGTGCTATTTTTATTATGTATTGATAGGGGTATGTACTAACTTTGTTATGCATAAATGAATTCCGTTGTTTATCATGCAGTGCAAGTTTTATATGAGAAAAAATTGTGACTATTTTGAAAGGATTGTGCTTGGTATAAATAATTTGGATACATAGAGAGTGTCTACACTCCTCGCATGGGGTGGGACTCATGCGAAGTGGGCCCCACCCCATGTGAGAGGTGTGAACATTTCTATGTAATGTACACTAAGACTTGTCCATTTTGAAATGCCCGAACCCAAATCTTAGCATTATTGGATATTTATTGCATTAGTAAGCGTCACCAAATAACAATTGTGGAGAATTCTTCAAAAAATTTCCAAGGGAGATTACTTTTTTGTGGATCATTAGAAACGGAGGTACATTTTACAGTAAGGAAACGAGTTATATTTAAGAATCATGTTTGATGTACAGTTATCAACATGCTTGACATACATTGATTTTGAGAACATTGTTGACAACTGTAACATTGTCAACAATGTTGTACAAAATGATTGTACAAATAAATTTATTCTATATTTAAAGGGTTTTGCTATTCGTCCAGGGCCCACGTGGCATTGGTGCTCTAGCATAACCCTATATTTTAATATGAAGGAATATTTTTGTCCTTTTATAAGTTCTGATGGTGACCAACAGTCATTAGTCATACGGATTTTTCTAGTTGTACGATTGGATTTTTCCCAGGAGGAGGAGTTCACGATTTTTAAAAATCATGCGCCTCCATGTGTGTTGTTGTCAATTCCGATTGTACATGAAACACTTTTCTAGTCATTTTGTAATTATTGATAACATGGAATGTAAATCATAAATACACGTAAATCCCCACATATAATTCAATATTTTTCCAACTGTCCCATAAAAATATTCTTGCTTTCCTTTTCTGCTTGTCTCAAGTTATATTTCATTTTCCTTATTTAGAGTATAGTTAATTTCTTGATGATTTAATGTCTTTATTTAATGTCCTTGTTATCAACAAATATAAATTAATTCTAATTAAATTATTATCTAATGTAGGAGTATTTTATAAAAATGTAAGTAGATAATATCTTCTTAACTATACTAGTTGCAACGCACGGAGCATGTTATTTGAAAGGTAATATTAGAGTGTATAGTGTTACAAATTGATGGGAGATATGTGATTGAATTACGAGTACAAAATGAACTTAGCATGATGAGGTAAATTTCTATATAATGTCGCCCATAAAACAGAGTTATGAAACAAATGAAAAATATGAAGAAATGAAGAGAACTTTAAATGGGATATAAAGCAATTATGAAAACAAGAGTTGAAGTGTATAAAGGTTCATGAACAATACCATAGCATTTTCCATAGATTTAAAAGTAAACATGAACAACATACCCCTTGTGTATTTAGTCCCAGTACAAGCTTGCTGTTTTGTGTATAAAAGTTTCAGGGCCTGTTTGGGCCCGATTTTTTCACCAAAAAAATTGATTTTTTGATCGTTATTTCACTATTCCAACCGTCATATTTGACTTCTTCTCTCACAGGTGGACCCCACTTTTCTCCTAACGGTTAAAAAATCAATTCTCAAAATTACTCTCAAACATGCTCTATCAA